TATGGTACTTTATACAAGGCAGCTATCGAACCTATTATGCCTGATAAAATTATAGAAGTGCATGCTGCTGAAGCAGACAATTCCTTGTTAGAGTTATATCATCAGAGATGGGGACATCAAGATAAACGTCACATTAAGAACATGCTTGAGAAAGAATTAGGAATTAAAATCCCATTTGAAAGAAAATTGTGTGAACCAACCATGCATTTTTGGCAAAGCACACCGTTTACCATTTGGCATAAGAAAGCCAGCCAGCAAGCCTGGTGAATTAATTTCAGCTGATGTCTGTGGACCTTTTGATGAATCTTTCCAGAAGAAAAGATACTTAGTTGTGTTTAAAGATAGCTACACAAAGTTTCGTTATGGGTATTTTATCAAGGAAAAATCTGCTGTTGTAAATATGTTACAACACATGCTTGCACACGCTAAAATTTTAGGACATTCAGTCAAAGAATTTCTCAGCGATAATGGAGGCGAGTTTGACAATGACAAAGTGCGTGCTATTTTGCATTCTGAAGGTATAACTCAAAGACTAACAGCACCTTATTCTCCTGAACAAAATGGCTCTAGTGAAAGAGACATACGTACAATAATCGAAATGGCAAGAACATTTAAGTACTCAAATTCTGAAGCTCATTTTCCTGCAGCAATGTGGGCTGAACTAGTCAACACTGCCATATATGTACTAAACAGAACTGGCAAATCATCAGTAGAAGGCATGAGTCCTTATGAGCTATGGTTTAAAAAGAAACCTCGAATTAAGCATCTTCGTATAGTAGGATCTGTGTGTTATGCCCATATTCCTAAACAAAGAAGAAGGAAAATGGATAATAAGGCTACAAAAGCTTATTTAATTGGTTATGATGGAGACGAAAGATACCGACTATGGATCAAAGAAACCAATAGTGTGATCTGTTCACGTGATATTATATTTAACGAAAAGCTCACAAATTGTGAAGAAAGGGTGCAGTTACCTATTCAAGATCAAGATAGCCTAATTTCTGGCTCTGAACATCAACAAAATTCAGAAAAAGATAAGTCAGAAAAGTTTCTTTGTGAAGAAGATAATTCAGAAAAAGAATACAACAAAGAAATATCTGGAAATATATCAGAAGAACATTTTGAAAGACAAAGAATGTGAAGATATTAATTTGCAAAATAATGCACAGTCAAGATACCTAAGAGATAGAGCTGACTTGAGAAAGCCAAAGCGTTTTGAAGATTATATAATGATAAGTGAAGCTTTTATTATTGATTCTGAAGAGCCCGAATCTTATGAAGAAGCGATCAACTGTAAGCAAAGTGTTAATTGGAAAGAAGCTATGGATTCAGAGATGAAATCATTGATAGAGAATGAAACATGGAGTTTAGAAAAATTACCAAAAGATGCTAAAGCTATACCATGCAAGTGGGTTTATAAGATCAAAAGGAATCCTGATGGATCTATTGATAAATTCAAGGCTAGACTTGTTGCCAAAGGATGTACTCAACGTTTTGGAGTTGATTATGATCAAACGTTTAGTCCAGTAACAAAGTTAGGAACTATTCGTTCAGTTTTGAGCATCGCAGCCAATGAGAAAATGCATCTTTCTCAGTTTGATGTCGGTTCAGCATTCTTATATGGAAAACTTGAAGAATCTATATACATGCAGCAACCAGAAGGATATAGTGACGGTTCGAAGAAAGTCTGTAAGTTGAAACGCAGTTTGTATGGACTTAAACAATCATCACGCTGCTGGAATAATATTTTGGAGATTTTGTGTCACAGCTGGGCTTCAAGACAAGTGAAGCTGATCCATGCTTATATATAAGAAACAATAACGGCAAGAAGCTAATCGTATGTTTATATGTAGATGATGGTTTAGTAGCATCAACAGATCTACAAGAATCTGAAAAATTTCTCAGAGAATTGAAGTCGAGATTCAGAATCACAACTAAACCAGCAGTATACTTTCTTGGACTTGAAATTAAACATCTTGAAGATGGAAGTATTAAAATTAGTCAGCAAGCTTATGCAAGAAAAATTCTTCAAAAATTTGGGATGGAAGATTGCAAGCCAGTGTCAACTCCTCCTATCCTGAAGGAAGGTCTAACTGAAAAGAAAAAGGAAGATAAATCAAACAGAGAAATTTTTCCTTATAGAGAAGCTGTAGGAGCTTTAATGTATCTTATGTTAGGCACAAGACCAGATTTAGCTTACTGTGTTGGCATTCTATCACGTTACCTAGAAAATCCTTCGAAAGATGATTGGAAAAAAGTGAAACGTGTATTCAGATACATAGCAGGTTCTCTAACTAAAGGTGTTACATACAAGAATAAATACAAACCAGGAATTCTAGAATGCTATAGTGATGCAGATTTTGGAGGCTGTCAAGAAACAGGAAAATCAACGAGTGGAGTAGTGATATTATATAGTGGTGGAGCTATATCATGGATTAGCCAAAGGCAAACAGTTGTTGCAACTTCGACGACTTACTGAAGCAGAAGTAATTGCAGCTAGTGAATGTTCTAGAGAAGTAATTTGGTTAAAGCGACTATTTAGTGATGTAACCAAGTTACGTGAAACTCCAGTAATTCAAAGTAGACAACGCCGCTGCAGTGAGACTGTCACAAAACCCGGAGTTTCATCATCGACGCACAAAACACATTGATATCAAGCACTTTTTCATACGAGAGAAAGTTCTAGAAAAAGGAAATCATTGTGCAGCAGGTACCTACAGAGGCGCAAGTTGCTGACATAATGACTAAACCTTTATTTTAAACCGAGACTGTTAATTCTTTGTGATAAGATGGGACTTTTGTGACTTTTTCTTTTAATTTATTATTATTATTTTTTTACAAGGGGAAGTATTAAAGTATGTTAATAAAAATAATAATAATATAATATATAGTTTAGATAAGTTCTGGCAACAGTGAGTGTTGTCGTCATCAGGAGATCGTGCTTCGCGATACTGTCGTTCAAAAATTGCTATAGTTTGTAATTCCAATAAAAAGCATCGTATTTTTGCTCTGCTGTTTGTTTTCTCTATTTTTAGAAATACCTTTTTAGGTTATGTATTTTTTAAGAAATTAAAATGTTTATAAGTAAGTTTATATCAACAGTTACACAAATATTTCATATGTCAGCTTATATAGACAACTACAGAAGTAATAACAAACAAAATTAAAATACACTAATAAATGAATCACAAATGACAAAAGGCAGTTAAAGTTCAGAATACATGAAATTTTATGAAATATCGTGTATGATTTTTTAAATGTTTTTGTCAGAGTATTTTGGCTTTTTTTCCTTAAGCTAACTTACATACAACTTACATTTAATTAACACAGAGGAATGATAAAAATATTATCCAAAGCTTAAAACTTAACATACATCATGAATATAATGACATCAATACATTTTAATCAAGATAAAAGGAAAGGGATTAAGTTTTCACATGAAAAAATTGTATACATGTACAGAAGCAAAATTTTGCATGTCAAATGATCAGTTACAAAGAACAAAAGAAATGAATAATATTTTTTTTTCATTAAGTTAAGGAAAGAATATAATGAGAAAAATCAAGGTTAACAAACGTAATAAAAGCAAAACTTTTACATTTCCTGACTGAAAAGTAAACAAAGAAACAAATTTAATTTTTAATTATTCAGCATAAATTTGTGAGACAACTATATAAAAGCTTACTTATTACAGAGAAAAAAGTAATACTATTTTCCATTCCTTCATATTCATTTTGAAAGAAAATTAACAGACCCAGTCAAAAGGAAAAACATATTTATATAATATAATCTTACGAAAAGCAGAAACTGTGGGGAAAAATATGTGTAAGACTTAAAGCCGGGGGGGGGAACTTAAAATGAACAGCAGCAGAAATTTACAGATAATTTTAAATAATTAAATGCATAGTAAGTACAAAATAAAAAAATCAGAAATAAAATTAACAAATTCCTGATACAAGATATAACATTTTAATTCTAATACAAATCTTTAAAGGTGGTGGAAAAACTGCCCATAACTGATCACTATTTCCAAATAGCAAAGATTAAAAAAATGTTAAGTGAAAATTATATATAAAAGAACATTACCATATTTATTCAAAAATAAGACTCCCTTTATATTTCAAGATAAATTTTCAGATATAAAAGTTGAATATTTGGTAAGAACAGGATTCCGATTACATTTCATTTGTTTCTGATTAGAATGAAAGACAAATTACCTAATTAAATGCAACATTTTACTATACTACAGAAAGAATATTTAGGAAGAATTGTCACACTATTATTTAATTTCGAAGTCAAACAACAAAAATCAGCGTTATATTTGCAAACGCTGACTTTTGTTGTTTGGCTTCTAAATTAATATTTGTTCTGTTCATTATTTTAACCTACACCATTACTTGTTTTTAGGCATAACGATAACCAGCATAGCAATGGCAAGCTTAAACTGAAACTGTTTAATTAGACGTGGCTATTGTAATTAGCAGTACTTATACAGTTTATATGTAGAGTAATTAGTTATGTGGTTTATTTAGTATTAGAACAGTATAATTATTTCAAATAGTATGAAACTTAAACTCCATCTTTTATTCTACAAATTCATTTGTTAAAATATACAATTAAAAGATCCTGCCAATTTTTAGAACAAAAATGTGCAAAAAAGGAGATCTTGTTTTTGAATAAGTAAGATAATTATTTTTTTATGTGAAATATTACTATAAAAACACCTGTTGAGCAATAATGGAAACTAAAAATTTATCAGCACAGTACAAAAGCTTATACAGCTAGCACTTTTATATTCTAAATTTATTTGCATTAAGTATATCAATTCTGTGTAATCCACTCAGAACAAATTTGATGACTGAAACTATGTTAATACTGAAAAACTAATTTAACTTCTTACTTCTGAGAAAAATTATTGAACTAAAAAAAGCCTTAAAAACCAATAAAAAATAATTTTCTTTTAAATATTTAATAAATAGTAGAAATATGAAATGCAAAATGGTTGAGAATAAGTGAAACCTTAGGAAACTAAAATTTTTGCTCCATTTAAATGAATTAAAATTTTATTATCCTATAATTTAAATTTTCAAACAAGCAGAAAATTATAATGGTAGAAAATTTATAAAATTAAAAAATTTAATTTCATGACACTGAAAATCGTTTTAACTTATTTGAACAAATAAAATGTGAAATAACTTATAACAGAATTAAATTTGCAAATAATAAGTATTAAAAGTTCTGTCACACAAGTGTATAATAAATAAATTATACTCCTAAATGTGTCAATATTCATTGACTTTATAGCTATGCTTCTTGCTGATCACCATAAGAAGATGGATTTCTTATATTTTGAGCAACACGGTGAGATTTAATTTTAGATAAGATTTCATATGCTTGCTGAATTTCTATGAACTTTTCTTCTGCTACCTTCTTTTGCAGCTCATCTTTATGTTTATCTGGATGCCACATCCGGGACAATTTTCGGTACCTTAATGTAATTTCCTGTTGAGTTGCATTCGTATTCAATCCCAGTACCTGTGAAGTGTAGGATACCAAATCATAAAACATTAAAATAAAGTTTGAAATCAGCAAAAATTTTACCAAATCAAATGGTTTTTGGATACCATCAAAAATGATATTCTTAGTCCTATAAAATTAGTCCGAATATTTTAAAAATGTATTAGTAGCATTTTTTTTTTATTATAGAGACTTTAAGAAAACATTTCATGTTAATTTACTGGTTTTCATAAGATTTATCCAAGTATTTACTTAATTTTAGCATGTGTTTTCATTTACAAAATATGTTTTTATTTACTAAAGGAAGATAAGAGAGCATTTTTGAAAAAATCTCTATTGTGACTCAAATATTATTTCTGATTGGAAGTAACCAGTTAAAATAATAGTTACCTAACAGCCATTGGTCTCTCTTAATTTTATTCCATATCATGCAAATATCTGAGGAGAGTTATGCCTCGCTTTAGCTAAACAATTTAAATAATGTTTTACCAGTAGTTTGAATATTTTATTGCATTTCATTTTTATATCTAATTTAATTTAGTTTTATTACTAATCTGAGTTTCTATTTGAAACAAACACATTCAGAAATTATAGTCAAGGTATTCCATATAGATATATTTTTCTATGTTTCAAACCATTTCATTTCCTACAAAATTTGATTCATTACCAAACTGATGGCATTTTCCACTTCACATATGCTCAGAGTAGTGACTTAAGAAGGTTACAGACAAGTTAGAACGTAGGTGAATATTTCCTGAAATACTGGATGTTTCATTTCCGCAAATTTACATGAGTATCCTCATTTTTAATTCCTCATTTCTTTTCCAGCATCAGAAGTAAATTTTCGAGCACAAATATTAAACTTTTCAATTTTGATAGAATTTATTTGTGAATAACTGGGATGTCATCATGCTTTGAGAAGTTGCTTTTTTGGTAATCTTTTGGAATACCCTGAATATATTACCTCTTTTTACACTACTCCCACTGCATCGAATTTTCAGATATTTTCTGATTTATTTGTTTATTACTTTTTATAATGCCTTTTAAAGATTTGGGAACAAATTTTACTAAATAATTGTACTGGTTGATTTAACAGTTTTGTTATATGTCTGGAAGATTCAGCGTCAACAACACTACCATTGTAAACAAGAAAGTTAGAAAGAAAATGAAATTTCAAGTTAGTATACTACTGTGATAGACTAATTTTATCAGACACTGACTAAAATTATCTACGCATTGAAATTTTATCTTACTATTATTTATTTACTATTTCTGCATTGAAATTTTATCTTACTATTATTTATTTACTACGATAGATTTATTTTCTCACACACTGATGTATTCACAGGTAGGTAAGAGAGACTTTTAACCCAATTCATATGGACTTTGAAACTTTCCTCCGTCTAAGTCAGGCCATTATCTTCAATGCATACGTGAATGTGAAAATGCACATGAATATTCCCATTACCGTCCAAATTTTGATTAATAGATGTCCTTCACTATTTCTCTACTTACGAATTTCTGTCTTATATGCTATGTCATTTCAAAATAAGCTACAAATTTGAAGAATATTTGCACATTTTACTGAACAATCTTACTTTGCAAAATTTGAAGAATATCATACAAATTGTGGAAACATCAATTTGAGAAAATGAAAAACAAAACTTGCAAAAACGGATACACGTAGGATGAAAAATAAGTTAATTAGAGAAGAAAAAAGAAAACAATAAAAAGATATGATTGTGAAATAAAAATGATAAATTTAGTATGTGGAAAGATCTTAGAAACAGAAATTAGAAAAGAATAAATTTAAAGGAATGATTTAGAAAGCCAAAATAAATGTATGTCTATATCAAGAAACAAGCATGCTGATTGGTTGAAATGGGAAGGGTACTGTTAACGAGAATCTGATTGGTATTATAAATGCCCTCTTTCGCCATCAAAAGATGTGAAGCGGTTTAGGCACACTGCAACAGGCTTGCACACGCCGCAATTCCCTATGCTAGGTGAACAAGCTACAAGGTGAACAAGGTAAAATAAGAGGTTTTCTGTCTGTGGTGGTGGGTCCGGGGTTCGATACCAACTTTTTAAAATTAAGCGAAATGTTATTAAATTCAATAATGAAATCAATTAAAAATAATAAGAGATAAAATAATGAGAAATTAGTGTAAAACGAATCACGTATCAAATAATTACGGAAAATAAATTAAAGTTGATGTCATTCCAAACATGTGGTTCAAGAGATCGTTACCAAAAAATTCGTCCTTGCCACAAAAATAAAACTTCGAAACAATTTTCTCGTTGCCACAAAAACATAAAACTAACGTGCATGGTGTTATTCAAGCCTGTCTACGTCACTTCCGTTTGTTACATTATCCAAGATGGTGGTGATCAAGACTCTTTTTCTGAGATGTCACTTCCACTGGTTAAGTACCTCCGCTTACTAATCATGGATAATATTTCAACAAACTAAATGTAGGATGATAAAATTGTGTAATATAAAAACACAGCAATACAATCGTGGAAACTTATTGTTCTAAATTAAAATCATTCTAAATTAAACTGTAGGTAATACAACTTTCTCACTTATATATATTTTCTAAACGGCTCACTGAGAGACGTATTAACCGCGCTTTTCGGTTATATTCTCTTTTAATGCAGAATCCAGTTTTCAAAGGCATTGTCAAAAATACCAAAAGACAAAGTATCCTTTCCAAAGAAATTATATTCACATAAATAAAATCAAATTAAAAAAGTTAACTACATGAATAAGCATATTTAAAGTACGCAATGCAAATTTTTTTAAAAACAACTATTTAAAGAACTATAGTTCAACCATGCAACTCAAAAAATTAAGATGAAATTCTTAAAAAAAGTCTAAAATGTGATAAAAATATAATATGAAGTAAAAATATATGCAAGAAAGAAAAATGACACTTTTCTCTCTCCCGCAAAAAATAAAAGAAAAATTTAAATAGGCTGCTGTAAACTCAGAAGTTCACCAAGTGATACAAAATAAAAAAGTGCGCCAAGCTAAATTTCCGAATTCCTAACCAAACTTCACAAAATTTGAATTTTAGGCACAATTTGAGCCGTAGAATCGAAACATGGAAGAAAATAGGCATGTCATTTCAGAAAAAACATGTAATAATACGCATGTTAGAACAACGCTGTATATAAATCTAATATATATCCTAAGTCGCACTTTCCAGGCATGAAAAACGCAAGTTAAATGTCGCCAATCGGCACAGTAGAAAGGCAGATATAGATCTCCTTTTTTGACCGAGTGCACCTAAATTTCTGAGAGGATTTCGGGAAAGGGATTTATTTTAAAAAAAGTTTATTAATATTATTTAAAATTTGTAACTGAATTATTATAAAATGTAAGGAAATAATTCTTTTAATGCTTATTAAAAACTTCTTCTGACCCTTGAATTCAACAATACGTATTTTAAAAATTCTACTGAACTATTTCCACCTCATATACTGCACTTTCCAACACCTTTTAATAGACCGTTTTCCAGTACTAACTATTTCTTTCTTCAACAGTCTTATAAATATATCTGGCAACAGCATTTAAATATATGTTTACAATTAAGTGTTAAGATCATTATATATATTTAGATGGTTTTAATAACTAGATTCTTCCACCAAAGTTTATGAATGAATAAATCCTTCATTTCCAAATACATTTATAAATGATTCAAATTAATATTTACATATTTAATTAAAAGCAAATGAATGCTTTTAAAAGGATATGCAAAATATTCATATATATTTAATATTTTTCATTTTTGGCATGTGCAAAGTTTTATTTTTTGTACATTCACTATATTTTTCGAATACAGTAATTTACAATAACTTAGTACATATCAGAAATTTTACATAAGAAATACGTATAAATACAAATTGAATGAAAATTATATGCATTATTTTTTACAACCACTCAAGGTTCAGATTTCTGTGAAAATTTCTCAGATTTCCCACTTGCGTGGGAAACTTTCTGCAATCTGGAATCAGTAGCAGGACTATCCCTGAGATGTCGTTTCAGAACATCACACACACACAGGGTTTTTACCTTCGCCGATAACACTGTTTATAAATTCTTAATAGGCTATCAAGATCATGGAGCTAAGAATAAAAGGAGGGGCCAACCCCGCTCTAGGAAAGCACTGCCTAAACATTCACTGCTGGATAAAATTCCGCATAAAAGAAACATTCATTGTTAGAGAGATAATAGAAATTTGTATAGCTTAGTGACATTTACCCAAAAATCACATCTTGGTTTTTTTTCGGTAACTTGCAACAGCGATTTTGCGGTACCTTTAAAATTGTATACGTCTTTCGATACCCTTTATAAAGTATTCGTTACTTTAGTTTATGTTTCAAACACCAAAATCTTTTCAATTAAATACATGTTTTGTCATTGACATATTATTTTTATATAATTGAAAAAAATCACTTTGGGTTAACTCAAAAAAAAAAAAAAAAAAAAAAAAAAAAAAAAAAAAAAAAAAAAGTAAATAAATGAATAAATAAAATAAAGTTCTCTCTCTCTTTTTTTTTTTTTTTTTCAAAATTTAATTTAGCAACATGTTTAATAGATGACTAAATGTAATACAAAATTATGAATGAAAAATCTTTGTTATTCAATACATACACTTGAGAAGTGGTCTGCTATTTTTGAAAGAGATTCAAGACATGAAAAAAGCATCATCCATGTTATTAATTCGGTATATCAATATACTTTCTATGTTGTTACCATCTGGATTATCTCGCAGTATGAAAATTTCAGGTATTTGTGAATTTATATCAATTAAGTTGTTTCTAACTGTTTTAAAAAGTGATGCAATATTATGCAGAGTAAAGCAATCAAGATTGCGATCTGATGACAGCGAGGTTAATATTTAAATGTGAAATGGATAGTTATCTATTCTATTATCAGAGAACTATTAAACTGGGTAAAATCGCTAAAAGAGGTATTGAATGTTCTGCCAAAACATTTACTAGAAAAGTTC